ACAGTTTAATCCCGATAATGTGACTTAAACTACCAAAATAGGCGGGTCAATATTTTATCGAGATGTTCAGAGGAAATTGAGATTAATGTGTGTGGTGAAACATAAAATACAGATTATCGAGATTTCTTGTCAGTTAATTTCGAAAAACTATCATTATCTCGTGTGGTGAAACCGGCCCGTAGTACTTCTTTTTCCACATTTGGAGTTCGGACATTCCTCGGGTGACGAGACCCATCTCGTTCCTATTTCACGCAGTCTCTGAGTGACAGAGGTGAATGTCTCGTGACGAGGTTACCACCGAGCTAGAAACCTCTCGTGATATAATCGTACATCATCTCGTGCATTACATTTGCGGTGGCCGCTTGGTTGAAGGAATTTCGCACATCTGAGGCCTAAAAGCGTGGGAGCGCTAGGTGCGACCAAAACATGCGTGCAGTCCTGCCGTCGATAACGCGCCTCTATGAGACTTTCAGCGGAGACCCTACCATTTTATGACGTAATAATAAAAATGAAGGTTTGATACACGTTGCTATTCCTTTTTTAGTGTTTTATACCGGAATGTTCATACATAAAAACACCCGTTTAAGCCATTTTCTCTACCTAAACATCATGCTTTGGAGAGAAATGAAGAAACTGAGAAACGTATACAGACACGTGACAGTTCTTAAACGCTATTCGTAAGCTGACCTCACTCAGACATGTAGGATGTTTTACCCAGGCGGCCACCTTAACTTCACCATAGAGCACAACCATGTCTGTCGTTTCTGAGTTCATATACTTCACTACTGCTTGTAGTAAAGATAGTTCACAGTAAAACGAGCACTTTTGAAAGGTCTGCTTACGATCTACTTGTATGCACTTTGGGTATTATTCAGCCTTATTTAAAATTAACATTTCCATGGGCCTGGTCACTTTTTTCATACGTCGGTAAAGTGAAACTGTGAAATTATTATAAAAGTAAATATTTTATCAAAATTCTCATCCTTACACTTTGGTGTATAAAAAAAACAGAAAGCCAAAGAGATAATTCAAGTGTAACAAATTGTTACTTAACACCTTTTTATTAGACGTTAAGATATGGAACTATTCTCCATCCATTGTTACCATCTTTACTGGGCGAATCTCACTCGGTGTGCCCATAAATATATATGCAGGCAAGGGCAGTGACTTTTTTCTAATGTTCATTTCAAAAGTGCTCACTTTTTCGTGAACAGTCTCTAGAATGCACGCAAGTGCAATGAGGTGTGAGTGTTTATTCTACAGTAATATGCACTGTTAAGGAGGGAAACTACACTACTGATAATGAGAGTGGAGAACAACCATAACGCACATCAGTATTCCGTGCCTCTTAGAAACCCCATTAGCCGAAACAAGTTCCGCCGCAAACCTCCTGTACGAATTTTCCACACCCCATTACAGAGCGGCGCGCTGATAGCAATACTGATTGCCTACCTGGCAGGCGGTGTGAAATCAAACATGCAAATTTTACTCGAAAAGGGAGAGAGTTGGACAATTTTTGCAGGAGATATTTCTGTTGATCATTTTGCCGGCATTTGCAATTATCTTGTCAAAAATAGGGAATTGTTCCCGTAACATACATTTTTGCAGAAGTAAGGTAGGCAACACCTTCCACAAAATGATGTGGCTGGGTTACATGTACATGCCATTAACTTTATTAACGATGAGGTTTTAAATAATTAAAAAACATTATTTTGTGTCTATCCCGCAAAGTCTTTCCTAAGTATGGCAATAAATCATTTTTTTTCTCAATCTTTGGAAGCATCTACCGCATTTGCTGTTTGACCTGGACCATGGGTTGCTTATCTCAATATTTCTATTTCCACCTCAGGAATAATGTATCAAAATTTGTCGCTACGTTTTAGAGACACGTAGTAAAATTCTGATTTCATTCAAAGATAGTCGTTGTGAGTAGCAAAAATAACCAAGCTGAAATGGATATTTACGTAACACGACGTCGTTTCATAAATACAAGTTATGCTGTGACAGCCTAGTCACAGAATAAAGCCCCAGACCTTCTCGCTAACTGAGTCGATGTGACCGCAACGTCTTTTAAACGCTGTTCACCACAAGTAAGAATTTTTGAAATCAACATTTGAAAAATATCACTGCTCCTACCTGCCTACGGGCGCATTGAGTGTCATGGGCCCATTCAAGTTGGTAACGACGGAAGTAAACTACTGCCATATCTCAACGAACGTTTAATTAAAAGTGTGAGGTAAACATTTGCAAAAATTGAAATTATTTTATTGGCTTCCGATTTTTATGCCTCTAAGTGTGAGAATTAGCATGATTGTAAAATATTTACTTTTCCAATAATTTCACAGTTTGACTTGACCGACATATGAATAAGTGATCAGACCCATATGAAAATGTTAATTTTACATACGGCCGAAGAACGCAACATATGCAAACACGTACATAGTTCCTAAGCAGGGCTTTTAAAATTGCCTATAGAGTGAGCGAAGTGATTTGGGCGGCTCTTAATATCAAGGTCTTGAGAGCCGATAAGGGTGAAGTGAGATGAGCATGGAGCGGCGCTGGAATGAAATGGCGGGGGAAACGGGATGAAACTTCGAGAAAACCCGCCGACCAGCGGCATCGTCTGGCACGAATCCCACTTGCAAAAATCCGGAGTGGACCGACCGGGGATTGAACGTGGTACGTCTTGGTGGGTGGCGAGCAGTCTAACCGCTTAGCCACCGTGGCACCAACGGCCTGTAGTTACGCATACTTACATGTTCTGCCGAGGCGTTCTTGTGTTGCGATCGTCCCTTTCTGACCCCTGGTTGGACCACTGACCCTCGTCCCCCTACAACATCATCCTGTCGCTCTCGCGCGAGGCCCTATTTCCATGCTAATGGCAATCATTTACATGTTAATCGCGCTCATCTGCATCGTTATTATCCAAATTTCGTGATAATTACTTAACGCACGTGAATCATTGTGACGGGGAGTGGCTTCCTCGACGTGTGCTTCGGTTTCTTCCCTCGTCAGCGCAACGCGGTGCAGGACTCGCTGACCGGCGCCATCCGGCAGGACCCGCCCGCTCACGCCGGAAACAGGAAGTGAATTAGTTTACCGCGAGTCATACGCTTTCGTCGTTACACTGTGGTGTGTCCGACTGCATTGCTGGGGCCTATTCTACCGCCATACTGTACGAATTTTCATTTCGCACTTTCACTTTTAATTTATAATTATGTTACACCAATGTGAGAATGTGCAAAAGCCGACTTTGAAAAGTGCAGAGAGTTTGCATTCTTAAACACATTTTTGCTTAGACAAACGATGAGGCATGCAACTTATTTGTCTTCTGCGCATGTACCCAACATTGACCTACCCCAAAGGAACACAGCAGTTAAAGTCACATTGTCAACAGTGACGAACGTGTTTGTTTACATCTTAGTGTTTAAATGACAAGCACTGTTATATGAATAAAATACTTCTACCTATTTGTATGTAAACAAACTGCATTACATATTAGTCAGAGGAAGTATGCAGAGATCTCAAAACACTTGCTTATTAAACACTGTCGTGGGAAAGAATGTAATGTCACCTCTTGGTAAGAATTGAGGTTAGTGATTTGGAGAATAATTTCACTTGAGAATGACATTACACGTCTGCAGGAGGACTTAACATTTGCTCAGTTGCAGTTTCGTAACTCTACTGTATAGGATGTTTGGGAATTCAATACAGCAATTTTTAGGGATGGTAGGCCAAACAGGACGATCATTTTATATAGAGGAAGTTGTGATCGAAAACATCTCCCTACTGTTTTACAGGCGCCGAACACACTGCGCATATTTTAAATGAAGAGCGGGCCCTTGCAACGAACGGAAGGCGCTGACGTAATCCAAGACGAAGGACGCGTGGCAGTGCTCGGCACTACAGCGAGTAGTGAGCTCCCACACTTGTTGGTTGATGTGTCGGACGAGCTAAGTGAATTGAAGTTAGCAGCTATTAGTTATAGATTTCACGTAAAATAGGCCTGAATAACAAATAAATGTACATTTTAAATCGATTATATTAATATTCTTATCCTAACCTTTGTGTCCGCCGAAGTGTATCGTCCCAAGTAGCAAACAACAAGGAGATAACAGTAGGCCAACTGTTGACACAGGTGGTACATGTTCGCCCACATGACTGTAAGTGTTCTATTATGTGGTACACAATAAGACCACGTGGACAATAGTGACTGTATTTGCTTGGGAAGTATTTTTGATGCGGGTCATTAAACACAAAATGATTAACAGAATTTAATGTATGGCCTACAAGCAATCATCAGTGAATCACCCACTGGCATCTTAGAACACGTGGAAAACATGTGGCTGATGCCAAAAGAATATGAAAATAAGATAATTTTCCCATGTAAAACCCTCATGTGGTAAACAGGTTCAATTCTGATAGTTGGGCATCATCATGTGGTCAATTACGGGCCACTTATAAAACGACTGACAGAATTTCATATGTGACCCACAAGCAAACATCAGCGAATCACACATAGGCATCATAGAATATGTAAATAACGTGTGACTGATGTATGCCAAAGAGTATGATTATAAGATCATGTTTGCGCATAAAGCCCTCGCGTGGTAGAATGGTTCATTTCTGATAGTTGGGCACCAACAGGTGGAAAATTGTGGCCAATTTAATACAAAATGACTGACGGAAAATGTGTATTCAAGTGATTTTTTTTCAAGTATATATGAAGTAAAATCATCACCTGGTATTGCTAGTAATAGGAAAAAAATAGTTCTTAGACCAGAAACCTGCAAAGCATAACACGCAAAAAAATGCGTTACTTTGAATTTTAAATTCTACCTGCAAGTAGTCCGAAACTAAAATACTATGTATTCGTAAATGTAAATTGAAGTTGGTGCTAGCAAATGGCCATACATATGCATGAAAATTATAAAACAACTTACTTCGTATTGAGTTTCATATTAATTTATCACCAACTATTTCAAGTGCTAAGTTGTGACTCCGGTATGATCTAGTGGCTAGAATACCTGGCTCTCACCTTGGAGGCTAGGGCTCGATTCCTGGTACCGGAAGAAGGTTTTAGTAGCTATAAGTATGATTTGCTATTATTTGTAGTAACATTTAATTTGTTTTCTGATTTATTTATAAATATAGCCTCAAATTTTAAGAGACTGTGAAACACCCACGGGCATCTTAGAGTATGTAGAGAATGTGTGGGTGATGTTTGCCTTTTGTGATATGCCAACTATTCCTTATTACTGAGGAAACATGATCAGCAAGCTTATATTCAATTTAAGGCATACCTTCTATATGTTGCGTATGAGTACATCTGTAGTTGATAGCATACATGACTGTAGACTTAAGGTTTGTGAGTTCAATTCCAGGTTTCTCCAAAAAGTGTATTAATTGTGAAATAAATCTGAAGATAACACATATGAATATGGTAAATTCCTCAATTTCATTTGGGTTAGACACAATTAATTTTTTGTTTTGAAAATGCATGGCAAGCGGCATCTATGTGAGCTACAAGTGGCCAATAGCTGGGCCACAAATGGCTTACCAACAATTGTCTAACGATATGTGGTTTACTTACGGCAGGCCAGATGCAGAAAGTCGGAAGTGGCCCGCTTGTAGTTAACTTACGGGCAACTCTTGTTTTCCCAGACATCAGCCAACAGTTCATCAAGAAGTGGCCCGCTTGTGGTTGACTTACGGGGAACTCTGGTTTTGCCAGACATCTGCTGACAGTTAAATATTTGTATGTGGCTTACGTGTAAACACATCATACCACAGTCATCATTCATCATCTTTGGGTGCATTCCGCTTCTTGAATGCCTGTAGATGCCGCATGTGGCCTGCTTCTTCACAATCAGATTTACACTTATGGCACAACTATATTTTGCTACTTGGGGTACAGTCATGAAATGTGATAATTTTGAATTAAAATTAATAGCATTGACTGAGCCACTAGCTTCGTATTGAATTTGGTGTTAATTAAATAACATTCCCTTCTTTTTACCATATTTGAAACCCATGGTTTTTAAAATGCTGATAACTTTCAAGACCAGAAAATATTAATTTTTTTTAGGTGGGCCTACATAGATTTTGACTATATTTGTGTTATTCATTTTGGCTTCAAAGCTCATTTTAAAATTATCAAATTATGCGGGATTTACATGTCTCTTCTTTCTAGAATCAATGCAAGGAATTGTCACTTTGTTGCAGAATATATTAGTCATATTTAAATTTAATCGTATTCCATTTAGTTAAAGATCATTAGGTATACCTATCTAATTTTTCATTAAATTTCGGAATTAACTCAGACCACAAAGAAAATTGGTAATGGAACTGCCAGAAAATGAAGAGCAGACAAGCCAACATACCAAGGAGCTTCTACAAAGCAAGGTGGCCCCTACTGTAGAAGGCCTGAAGATAAGGCATATCTTCAGTATCAGAATGGGTGGAGTGATGATTGCGGCTGGTGATGACAAGACACTGGAGAACTTAAGGAGAGTGAAGTCTATCCAGGAAGTGTGTTTAAGACTTGAAGCACCCAAAAAGAGAGGTCCGAAATTCATTATATATGACATTCCCAGGGAGCTCGACACAAGCAATGAGCTCATAAAAAAAATCATTGGCAAAATTTCAGCGTCAGTGGAATTCCCCTTGCAGAGTTGAAAACGATTGCGCATGCCCGGATAAGAAGAGGTGAGAGGAACATAAGAACTGTTCACACTGTGTTTGAAAGTACATCAAATGTCAGAAAGCACTACATAGAACAGGGAATAATATATCTCGGGTATGATAGTTTCAGAAAAAAAAACTTTTGTGAGCCCCTCAGGTGCTTCAAGTGTCAGAAGTATGGTCACCAGTCCAATCAATGTAAAGGATCAGATGTGTGCTCATGCGTTGGCGAACAGGCCACAGCTACAAGGGTGTGAAATGTTCCATGAAAGGGAAGAAGGAAAACAAGTGTGCAAATATCAAGGCGGAGGGAAAGAAGCACAACCATAGGGGAGACTGTAGAAAATTCCCTGCAAACCAGAAGGCGTTAGAGATAGAGCTTGCTCGAAACTGCTATGGATTGTGAGACAATAAAATGTGGACTGCAGTGGTCTGCAGTGGTCGCAGCCGAATTGGTGAAAATTGCTGAAGAGCTGAGGCTGGAAATTCTATGGTTTTAGGAATCGTATGTAGTGCGTGTTTCTGTACATGAACTCGGTGGAAACATCCTAGTAATGGGAGAAACGCCAATTGCAGGTGTGTTGGTCCAGAACAGTTCAGATAAAGTGTCTAACGAACATCGTATGACAGAGTCGGTGAAGAAGTGAAAGGAGGAGGTATACCTTACCTCCTCTTACTTCCAGTTCTCGAACCCACCTGAAGAACACCTAATGCAATGGAAACCTATGCTAGATAAGTTAAGAGGTCGAAAATTGCTGATTACGGCTGACATGAATGCAAAGTCAGAGGTCTGGCGTTCTCCAGTTACGAACGAAAAGGGAACAATTGTCCACCAGTTCGTTGTTGCAAATGGATTGACAGTCAACAACATAGAAGGGCAAATTACTACATACCTTTCGCCTGCAACTGGCACAGAAACATTCATAGATGTTGCACTGACAATTATAAACATGAATGGCATGGTTCATTACTGGAGCGTCATTCAAGACAGCTCGAGTGATCATAGATGTATAGTCTATGACATTGCAGAAACAGCAAGGTTAAACTGCCTTTCAGCATCCAAGATATGTGCACAGAGGCACATACTGGAAAATGTTCAATAGAACACTTCTGGGCGAGCTCACGAAAGAGCAGAAATGCTTACTAAGGTGATCCAGAATATTTGCGATCGGACTCTGAAAAAGACCACAGGAAGTTTCTTCATGCTCTGGTGGTGGGACAAAGACCTGGAGCAAGAGTGAAGGGATATTCGGAAGTGCAGGAAGAGAATGAAGAAGGTAAGACTTCCTGAGAGGAGAGAAGCCATGGTTGAAGAGTACTGACGTAGAAAGAGAGTATACGCCAACAGAATCAAAGGTAAGAAAATGTCGTAATGGAAAAAGTTAGTAATCGAGAAAGGAACAAAGATCCATGGGTATTCGTGTACAAGCTGGTCGCTGGAAGGCAGAAATGACTGTTCTCAAAGGCATAGTTTTCGATAGAGAAACTGAAACAAGTCAGGTAGAATATGTGACAAAACTAATTGAAGTGTTGTTGCCAAGTGACCGTCAGAATAATTAAATGGAATTCCGCACTCGGAAGAGAAGAGTGATGGGTGAGTTGCCTTGGGGGGACAACAGTCCAGAATTTACAATGCAAGAGCTTGATCAAGTTATGGCCAGTATGAAAAACAAAAAGGCTCCTGGGATGGATAACTTAACAAAAGTGATTGTTAAGGAGGCAGATCCAAGAATATGGTGCTTACTGCTAGAACTGTAAAACAAGTGCCTGAAGCAAGGAGTATTCCCTGAAACTTGGAATATTGGGATACTGAAGATACTGTATAAAAGGCAAGGGAAAAGTCCCACACAACCAAAATCATACAGACCCTTGATATTATTGCCAGTGTTAGGCAAGTAGTATGAGAAGCTAATAAATAGAAGATTGATGCAGTATCTGGAAGGACTCTGCATTTAATATCATAGGCAATATGTGTTCAGAAGAAATATGAGCACTGAGCTAGTGGTAAAGGGAGTGTTAGAGGCATTTCAAATGGCACAATATGATTACATCATGGGAGTATTCTTGGATATTGCTGGAGTGTTTGATAATGCTTGGTGCCAGAGATCATGTGGCAGATCAAAGAAAAGGAATGTCCAACTAACTTCTACATGGTGTTGCTGGACTCTTTTAAGAACTGGAAAAATGTGTACTCAGATGGAGAGCTGAGAGTAGAGAAGAAACTGACTAAGGCTTTTCACAGGGTTTTGTCCTGGGCACACTACTGTGGAATGTACTGTTTGACGAACTTCTACAAGTCCCACTGCCTGAAGACTGTGGACTCTATGGATATGCCAATGGTGGGCTGATACTCATTCCAGCATGGTCACAAGGAGAACTAGAAGGCAAGGCAGAACATGTTCTTATAAGCGTAGAAGCTTCGGCATACTCCTAAAGTTAACATTTGCTGCAGACAAGGCCAACTTCATGATGCTGAAAGGGAATTTCCAGAAGAGTTACCCAATTGTGAGGTTCTAGGGCAGACACTTTAAGTTCCTCAATGTGTAAAATAACTGGGAGTCATGTTGGACTCAGAGTTGACATTTATGGAACATGTCAAGTACATATATGATAAAGCTGTGGTCCTGTTAGGAAAACTCAGTACAGTAAAAACCCACCAACTGGAGACTTGATTTTCACACCTTGAGATAATTCACAAAGGGCACATTGAGTCAATTATATTATATGGGTGCGCAGCATGTCACAAGAAGGTGCAACAAGTCTTAATCAGAAGAAGACTTGTAAAGGCTCAGAGATCCATTCTGATAGCAGTGACAAAGACATATCGAGCCATGTCCAATGACACTTTGCAGGTTCTAGCAGGAGTGCTACCAGTTGATTTGCTAGTAACTGAAAGAGTTGGATTAAAGGAGTTGGCATGGAGAAGAAATTTTACTCCTGAAGAGAGGAATGAAACCAGACAGCAAATCCTTTCAGTTTGGCAAGATAAATGGAACACCTCAACTGAAGGCAGATAAATGCAGCTGGTGTTTTCAGATGTAACTAACAGACTGAAGGACTGGATAAAGTAGATTACTATGCACCACAAATGCTGACTGGACATGGAAATTTCAAAGCAAAGCTGCATGGGTTTAATCTGGTTCCATCGCCAATGTGTGTGGTGTTCCATCAACTGGACACGGTTCGTCACATGATTGACGAATGTGCTAAACTCGAATACAAAAGGATTAAAACAATGGAACAGCTATCGGAGTATGGTATAGATGAAATAGACAGGAGATAAGTCCACAGATGATGGGGCACTGCGAAGATATTCGCAAGAATCGCTCGAGGGACAGTCAGAAGGCTCGAATAGTTCGATGTCTGGCTTGAAGGCGAATAACAAAGG